CAAATTGTTGCCATGACAACGACGTGGACCAAACCTGCTGCTGAAGATGCAAAGTCCTCCAGCGCCGCAAAACTTGTAGGCTCGAAAACGATATTGTTCGCAAATAAAACACTGCACCCGTCAATATCCTCGCGTACGGCTGGGCTCATCGCTCTGAGGTCGGCCTCGTGAATCGTGACCTTGGATAAATTCGGGAAATCCACGCGTGCGCCACGAATCAGCAGTTTTGACATGTTTGCCAAGTTTTCCTGGAACTCAATCCCGATGCATCTCCCAACACAAGTCTCCAATGCCACTTGTGCAACCACGTTGCCGATCCCAGATCCAAAGTCAACAAAAGTTTCGGCGATTGTAAGCGTTGGAATGACTGCCAGTATTGCTGAAACCCCAGTTGGCGAAATCTCACCAGCATGACAATCCGGCGCATGGACGGGTTGACGCAAGGCCGAGGCATACAAACTTGACACAGCGTCATGAACGTTGCCAACATTATCGGGAGCGCTCAACTTGTAGCCACCACTAAGCGCGTCCGTGCCGATTTTTGATCCCGAAATCTCCTTGGGAAAGAATCTAAGCTCACGCCGTGTGTCCTCTTCAGCGTCTTTAGACGAATCTGCAGCTGTCGCTGTGTCTTCCCGCAGTATGGCATCCCCAACCAGACAGTCCGCCAGTTAATTCGGCGGCCTGCATCAACCTGCTCCTTTGCCAGCCGATAAAGCAGCAAGTCCTCTTCGTCCGAGAAGTCTGCCATCGGGTTGCCACGAGATCTAGAAATCTATAATGCCATACATACCATAAGATATTTGGTCTCATACTTCTTCGCCTGATAACCTACCGACCTTTCACAAAGGTCCCATCCCCATCAATGTACTCAACACCAGGTTCAAGACGCTCCTACCGCCAGCAAGGCAACTAAGCCCGGCTATCGATGCCGCTGCTATAAACGCTCTCGTGACACTGCCCAGCCAACGCGGAAGCACCCCTATTAGCCTCATCGACCGCGCCGAATGCCACCGTCACGTTCGTGACCATGCCAGCGGAGACGCCCCCGATCACGTCCAACACGGCCACGGTCGCCGCGGAAGCCTCCGAGACCATGCTGTTGACGGCACACACGGCGGCGCTGCGGCCGCCGTTGTGCTTGCTGCCCGAGTCGCCCGCCACCATCGCGTCCGCGTCCGTGTCCATGTCGGCGGAGACGCCGCTGACCACGTCCACCAAGGCCACGGTCACCTCCATCGTGTCCGAGACCCTGCTGTCGATGTCGCTGGCGACGCCGCTGACGCTACTACCGGCGGCAACCTGCGTGCGGACTGCCGCTGTCGTTGCGCTCGCTGCCCGAGCCGAATGGCACCGTCGCGTTCGTGACCATGCCAGAGGAGACGCCCCCGATCACATCCAACACGGCCACGGTCGCCGCGGAAGCCTCCGAGACCATGCTGTTGACGGCACACACGGCGGCGCTGCGGCCGCCGTTGTGCTTGCTGCCCGAGTCGCCCGCCACCATCGCGTCCGCGTCCGTGTCCATGTCGGCGGAGACGCCGCTGACCACGTCCACCAAGGCCACGGTCACCTCCATCGTGTCCGAGACCCTGCTGTCGATGTCGCTGGCGACGCCGCTGACGCTACTACCGGCGGCAACCTGCGTGCGGACTGCCGCTGTCGTTGCGCTCGCTGCCCGAGCCGAATGCCACCGTCGCGTTCGTGACCATGCCACCGTCGCGTTCGTGACCATGCCAGAGGAGACGCCCCCGATCACATCCAACACGGCCACGGTCGCCGCGGAAGCCTCCGAGACCATGCTGTTGACGGCACACACGGCGGCGCTGCGGCCGCCGTTGTGCTTGCTGCCCGAGTCGCCCGCCACCATCGCGTCCGCGTCCGTGTCCGTGTCCATGTCGGCGGAGACGCCGCTGACCACGTCCACCAAGGCCACGGTCACCTCCATCGTGTCCGAGACCCTGCTGTCGATGTCGCTGGCGACGCCGCTGACGCTACTACCGGCGGCAACCTGCGTGCGGACTGCCGCTGTCGTTGCGCTCGCTGCCCGAGCCGAATGGCACCGTCGCGTTCGTGACCATGCCACCGTCGCGTTCGTGACCATGCCAGAGGAGACGCCCCCGATCACATCCAACACGGCCACGGTCGCCGCGGAAGCCTCCGAGACCATGCTGTTGACGGCACACACGGCGGCGCTGCGGCCGCCGTTGTGCTTGCTGCCCGAGTCGCCCGCCACCATCGCATCCGTGTCGCCGACGGCGGAGACGTTTCCGACCAGGTCCATCAAGACCATGATTGGGGGAATGCCGATGGTAGGGCGTTTCGGCGAGGGAGAACGGGTAGAGCGGTCGCGATACATAATGTCACATAAATAGACTATTGGTATTTGAAGTGGTTTACACAACATGTAAAGGCTCGCCTTTTTGGTGCCCATTTTGCTTTGGTTGATCTTTTCAAGCTTTCCCGCGCTGACATTTTTTTCCATGTCTTCGCTTTGACCAATCAAAACCTGTCTCCGAAAAATCGATGACAGTGATTGGCTGCCAAAGTTCAACAAGAAGTGTGATTGGTGGAATTAGTTCAAATCGATCCACTGTTGTTTGGTCGGCTTGATCGGCTTGCTCCGAATCAAAATGACCTTCTCGCATCGGAGCTCATTTCCGATTTTGCAAGCTCGATCCCAAGTGTCCCTGGCTGACCACGCTCCGTTCTTCCGGTTTCCACGCCTCGAACGACGGTGGTACACATGTGCTGGCCGTACCCATCGTTTACGGCGCGTGGCTGCCCGTGATACTATGCACGCTGCGGTCAAGTCCAGCCTGCCAGTTCGCCCCTCACTCTCCAAGTCCAGCGTCGTTGGAGTCGTCACACGCTCAGCGCCGGTGAGTCGACGCATCTGCTGCTGCTGACCGCCTGTGCTACTTGACGCGCTGACCTCGGGACGCACCGGGCATGAAGTTGGACTCGCTGTCCGTCGTGTACCCACCCGACGACCACGTCCCGCACAACCGCCGCAACAGCGCATTTGTTGTCGATAACGCAGTGCTACTAGAACTGGCGCTGGGATGGTGTCGTTTGTCCCGTAGCCCCCAACTCTCCTCACGGCATTGCCGCCGGGTGTGGCTGTCAACCACGTTCAGCTGCGAGACGCCGAGATTCCGCTACAGGACCCCGAGATGGAGCGTCGGAGGCGGCACTGGACGACTGCCCACTAGACCTGCAGGTGGACGGCGTTCTCCCGCCCTTTTTCGCTTCCAGCGATCCTCATCGACGGACAACCGCACGTAGATGCCTCAGGAGGGAGCGGGGTGCCACCGGCGACAAAGATCAAGAGAGGCTACCGCTAGAAATGGAGCGTTCGAGTCCCATCGGGGGTCAAGATGGAGCCTGAAGTCGCCATGACGACGACGTCGCAAGCGCCCAATTTGCCCAGCGACAGGGACACGCAGGCGGCATTGGCACTTGGCAGCAGTGTATCTACGATGGGCGTCACCACTGTCGCCGTGTACCGTAGTTCGGACCGTCACTATGGGGTTTGCATGGGTCAACGTAACTGTGGAGACGATGCCGAAGCCGCTACTGCACTTACATTTGGTAGCAATACTGGAGTAAATCTAAGTACCGTATGTTACCGTTGAACGCTTTGAGTACTCGTACTATTCATGACTCTGTGTAATTACACTGTATTCATCCCGCACTCGATATCCGATGCATTTTGCACGGTACCTTGTCAGCACAGCTACGCTGCATTCCGCATGGCGGGCATTGAACCTGCACCGGTGGGTTCAAACTCCACCATACTAACATCACATACAACGATGAGTCGAACCACCCCATACAAAGCCTAGTACGTTCGGTCCCTTTGAACACTTCGAACATGGCCATACAAATAACAATATATTCGGTCCAATGGCTCAAGCGAGACCGATGCATGCAAACCAGTTAGAGATCTTTGCCGTGAAGGAGCCACTGGTACGCTAGCTGAGCTCGTCCACCACCACATACCCAATGCCACGAAAGCGGAAGCAGCGGTCGAGCACCTGCGAGCCCACAGCTAAGCGACAACAATCACGACGCTCGGGTCGTATCTCACCTTCAGCTCCCACCGGTCTAGGTACGATCCGTTGCTTACCTAGCGCTCGAGCAAGGTATCATATTGACGCGTATCCACCGGCATACAGACCTCGCGGATGACCATGCGATGTTTGGATCTGTTTGGCGAGTTCTAAGTGCGGCTGGTTGGAGTTCAAAGCGTCCAACAGGGAGAAGCTTGAGTGATCTGTACCGCTATATCCGTCCCGGTGGTGACTCGAATGGAACAGAGGGTATCGACTATTATCTGGGTGAACGAGCGCTTTTGGAGCACTATCGGCGGACATTGGTAGTGGAGGATGGTGATACGGATGGTGCCCTGTCCAGGCGACCCGATGACGAAATTGATGTCGACCAAAACAACGTTAATATATGTGGGGCTGGCGATGTTGGTCTCAACGCGGCAGATGATGTACGTGGTAGTAGCGGCGGAGTTCCTGGAGCGAGTGCAAACGACGTTGATTGTGAGAAAGCCGCGCTTCCGGGAGTAAGCTGTCACGAATCGGTGTTTGATGGTGCTGCCAGCACCTCTCAGGATTATGATGGTGCTGCCTCTGCTGTATCTACACCGCCAACATCAGCGCGCGTCGTACCCGTACATGCAGCAGCTACGCGAGACCATTTACTCCAGCTAGATCACCACGCACCCACCGCATCGTCTGGTACATGTGCGCAATGTGCAGTCTGCAATATGGAGTGTTCAACCGAGCGCAGTTGTACCTGGTGCAAAAAATTTCTCCATCACTTCTGCTCTCATGATGTCTGCGTTTCGTTGAATATCCCAGACCCTAATGGTGGATTCGCCAAGGATTTCGGTGATAGCAGCTATTGCAGCACGCTTTGCAACACAAACGCTACAAAAATGAACTTGGTGGACCAAGGGAGAAGTGATGAACGACCCAATGCCCTACTTGACCTCCCCGCGAGTGTTTTGACGCCAAGTGTGGCTCCGTCGGAACCTGCAGAGACCAACGCCGCCACACATCCTGCTACAAATTGCTCGGGGGCAGCAAAACCTAAGCGAAAAAAGCGCGGTCCTGCCGAACAATCAGCTCCAAAGGCACCCCGAAGCGAAAACCAAGGTGCGCAACGGAAAACGAAAAGCAAGAAGGCACCTACCAAGGCCAGCAAACCCAAGGCTGTGGCAATGAAAGAAGAGTTGATTCGCCGAGCACATGCGGCTGCCGAAAGATTTGTTGATGCTAGCGTAGCATGTTCACCGGCTGATGAGGAGTGGATGCCGCTCAGTTTGTAACGCGACGTTGGCGCAGCATTTTTGATTGGTGTGGTGACTCGCTACAGCCTGGCAAGCGAAAAAAATGCTGACAATGTTAGCGTTCCTCACGACAAATTTCAGGTTCAATGGACGTGTACTGCTTTTCAAATAAAAGATCACGTTCACCACGTTTCCGAAGCCATCATCACCCGTGGTATCCGCCAGTTTGCCAACATGGAAAAAAGACAAACTTCAATTTGAAGAGTCTTGGACGTCCCTGTGCAACATGGTCCCCAAACTATCAAACATTCCTGCACTGACAGATGAATTTGAGGAGATGGACGAGCGTGGTTATCGTGAGTGGTTTGCGTTTCGCGGGCGGAAAGAATTGCAGCGCCCTTTGTGCTCTGGTGAAGTCGAAGAGATAGCATCAATGACATTTTCACCCACAGCATCGCTTGGCCAACCGTCAGGGCTATTTACACATCCGGATGGGATCCTCTGGTACATGACTCTGTTCGACAAGGGTGAGATGAGAAATTACTGGGTGGACGACGAGGAAGCAACTATTTTTTCCTGGAGCGCGTACTACTAGTTTGAAGTCAATTATGACATGGCGAAGATTCCTGTACATCCGTAAGAATTTGAGTTTTCGTTCCAAGGTGTCTACCTCCGACATCAAGCGCGGTCCTGTAGCTAGAATACGACCACTCATGAGCATTCTGAAATCGCGATGCCTGCGCCATGTCGAAGTCGGTCGAAACGTGGCTGTTGATGAGGCCACAATTGCCTGCCGATCCCAGTACGCCCGCCACATTATAGTCTTCAACCCACAAAAACCCACCGGAAAGTATCATTTCAAGTTATACGTGTGTTGCTGTTCTACCTCGTGGTACGCGGTGAGTTTCAAGTTGCACTGCTCCAGTGAACTTGATGATCGGCTGGACGGTGTAATTTCACGCTCAGAAGTGCAGAAATTCGCTGATCTAACCGCGAAGTCGTCTGAAATCCGCTCTCACGTCATGGCGGTTACTTCATCTTTGAAAGGATCCAGTCGCATTGTAAACACAGACAACTTCTACACTTCCTGTTTGCTGTTGAAGACTTTACGATCGATTGGTCTCTATGGTCGTGGCACTGTACGCACATCTAGCAAGCATTTCCCTCATTTTACGATGATTCGTAAGGAGGACGCGAAGCCGCGAGGCTACATGAAGCAAGGTGTATGCTTAGAGAAGCATATTGTCGCAGCTAGTTGGGTGGATGGCTCAATTGTCAATGTCGTGTCTAATGCCGATGCTTCGACCACATCAACTGTGCATCGTCGTATAAATGAATCGGGTGTGGCTTTCACTGCTCCTACTTGCGTCGGCGAGTATAATTCAGCGATGCAAGGTGTTGATCGGCTCGACCAACTGCGTGCACGATTTTCTCTAGCCGATGGCCACTCATTTCAGAAGTGGCATAAAAAACTAGCGATGGTCATGCTTGATATAGCCAGGTGCAATGCCTACATTTGCGATAGTTTGGCGCGTGGTGAGAGCGAGGAGTCTCGTTCGACGGGAGGTACAGCCCAAACGAGGTCAAGAGCCCGCGATAGTCATCGCGCATTTGTGGCATCACTGGTTCGAGAACTGTTCAATGGGGACTGGAAGAAATCTCTGGATAGGGAACATGGAATGGTGTATGCTGCGAAGCCGACAACGACAACAATGCCGATGACGACCCAAACCGCGGCGTCGACAGATGTATCCGAGTCTTTGGGCGATCACGCACAAACGTGTGTTGCAAGAGCGTCCTCGGAGGTGCTTCAGGGAAGGAGTCGCTCAATGCGGAAATGCACTGTGTGCAAGTTCGAGGGCAGAGATCCTACCGAGAAAACCGACTACTGCGAGACCCATCGAGTTGCGTTGTGCAAGCGCACATACCCTGTTGACCCTACGAAGCAGCATCTGTGCCAACAGCAAACTTGGAGTTGCTGGCAGAAATACCATTTGTTTTACTTGCCGAAGCAAGTGTACACTGTCGACGGCAACTTGCGACGAACCTCTCCGATTTATGTAGCTAACCGCCCATTTCTGAAGGCCCGCCAAGATCAAAAGAAGGCTAACGCAGCCACCAAGGCGTAACCTCACATCATTTTTTCAAGATAGTCAAAGTCAACTAACCATTTATACTTCACTGCACTAAGTCACACCTATTCCATCTGCCCCCGCTAGTCTTGATGCCGTAAATGCGGATTTAGCTCGTGGCTGACAACATACTGCTTTACCACTGGTGCACCATAGCGGCAAGCTAACCACACTCCACTGCGTATAATCCGACAGGATGCTATTAGAAATTCCACGCGCCTCAAAGCCGAACAATAACTCCCAACTGTGTATATGTCAGCGAAGACGCCTCAGACCACATCCAGCACGGCCACGTTCGCCACCACCACATCTGAGGTCATGCTGCTGACGGCGCTGCCACGGCCGCTGCCCTCGCTGCCCGAGTCGCCCGCTACCATTGCGTCCGACTCCATGCTGACGAAGTTGCCTCCGATCTCCTCCCGTACGGACACGATCTCTACAAAGGACGTCATGCTGTTGATGCCGCTGACGGTACTGCTGGCACCTCTACAACGGTCTCCTTCCGCACTGTCGATGCATTTGCGCACGCGGTCTGGTCACCGGTCACATCCTTGCCAACCTCCGTGCCAGTGGAGGCACCCACGACCACCTCCAGCACGACAACGGTCACGCCCAAGCGTCCGTGGTCATGATGTTGCCGGCGCACACACGGCGCTGCGACCGCCGTTATGCTTGCTGCCCGAGTCCCCCGCCACCATCGCGTCCGTGTCCGTGTCCATGTCGGCGGAGACGCCCCTGACCGCGTCCTCCAAGGCCACGGTCACCTCCATCGTGT